GTTGTTAAATACCGAGCTATCTATCTACCTAACGAGCTATCTATCTATGGCTCTATACTCCTTCTGTTGGACCTTCGCCGCTTTTTCAGTTTCCTAATCCTGTACACAGTTGGTATGACCCCTTGGACGAGGATCAGCCCGTCGCAAGGCCTCAACCTACACACATAACAACACAAACACAAAATTAACGCACACAGACATTCATGCCTTGAGTGGGATTCGAACCCACGAACCCAGCGTTCGAGGGAGCGGAGAGTTGATGCGTTAGACCGCGCGGCCACTACGCTCGCGCAAAAGACGAGGTAAAAAGGTAAATTTTTCTTGTGATTAATCAAGCACGACGCCGCAAAGAGGTATGAGCAAGTGGAGGTATCGCTCCACTCATTCTTAAACTCGACATGAGATGGAGTAAGTGGTCAGCTTTACGGGCTACGCTTTGCCCCTCGGGAGAAAGTGTTCACGCATCTAATGAGGCAGGCAGAGCCGGTCCAGACACTAAGAAGGACAGAAGAGCTTTTGGCCCTACCAGGGACTGACTTTCAATCCCCTGTTCGTACACCCCGTAGCTTAGTCACCGAAATACATTTTAGCGTGATGCCGAGTGGAAGATATTAAGAGACACTGAAATAATTCATCCCTTGAGGAGAAGTGGCTTTAGATGCGTCCCAAGTAATGCTTCAGAATCCTGGCTCCTGTAACTGGAGCTCAGTAGCCGGGCGCTTTCTACAGCCTCGATTATTGCGTGAAAATGTAATAACGCGTGGCCCGACACTTCACACGCTAGGCCGAGCGAGGGCTCACAGTTTAATTCCTGCAGACTTCTAATTATTCAGAACGGAGCGTTCTGCAAACAAACAGCAAAGGCTGCAGACAAGACAGAGACATGGGTATCAGCTGGTGAGCCCGAATCACCCCTCACAGACACCGTAACCCTCGGATACAGAAGCGGTAGCAGATAATATTAAAAAGGGTAAGCTGCCACTGTTCTTAAATTATTAAGCACACCTAAAGTATTGCCCTTATACTTGGGATGTGCTCGGTTCAAGTCTCAAATAAGGTTTTTCGTGGTTTTTCAGAAATTCCTCCATTCAAACACCGGGACAGCACCTCAATTAGGCTACGACTGCGTCCTTCCAAATCCTTTCCAATTCATCATTCATCTATCATCTTAAGTTCAAAGCTATATTGCCTAGCAGCTGAGTGCATCGCAGAACAGTCCACAATAAAGTAAGCACTCCGCTATGAGGACGTATGGGGAAAAGGAGGTATAGGTCCACAATTCTTGACGTCAGCATCAGATTGAAGTGGTCAGCTATATACTCTTTGCACCCATTGGATAGAAGGCTGGATACGTCCCCGAGGGGAACAGACAAGTCTCCTGCCTCTGCCGGGAATCGAACACGAATTTCGCGGTAGGGTACATCTCGTATCTTTTAGCCTAATCAGTAATGGAAATGGACTCTAGTGGGGACACGTGAGCCCCCTATCCCTACAGCACAGGTAGCTTTCCCGAGATCATCTCTCTTGCATCCATAGTAAGCTCCCAGACTTAGTTCTTCAGTCGACGCTCGCAAGCCATGTTTCATATTACGAGACAGTTGTCGCTCTCAGGGAAGTAATCATGAAGATTGCCGTTTTCTGGTATGTCAGGCCGACAGTCTAGTAAATTTTACTGACGTCTCGGAGTAATTTTCTGCTTCCACCTTCAGGAAAAACGAAAGAAGCACGTTCCTCCGAAATATCGGACACGAAGAACCAGACCACACGGCATCACATCCCAGAAAATAAGAGTAATATTCACTTTTAATATCAACTTTACGATTTTCTGAAATACTGAAGCCAATTTTAATTCCACCGACTGCTCCACACTCATCATCCGGGGCTGGTACAATAGTGCCAAGACGACATACCAAGTGGGCTCAGTCTCACCCCACCCCACGAAATTAAATTAAGTCTACCACATTATATGGTGCTATATACCAGATAGAACATTTAAAACTCAAAGCCGTGAGAATATTTCTAACAAGTTCACTAACTTGTCTAGGGCCATCAACCTCGTGAAATTGTCATCAGCCTAGATCAGGCATGTCCAACGCGTCGATCGCGGGACGATTTTTGGTCGATCTCATAGGTCTATAAGGAAATTATACGTGAAAAGCATGTAAATTCACTTGTAATATAATATGATTATATTCAGATTTTGAAAGGAAAATACGTGTTAAAGTAGTCTGTACTTTCAATGTATGTTGCTTTTACAACAAACATCAAGTGTCGCGATACTTTTACCAATATTTTTGCTTAAAGCGAGGTACGACGATAGGAGCGGGTGGTAAATCACTGGCAGTTTTGACACTAAAAAGTCGATCACAACCTGTTTGAAGTTGGACATGCCTGGCCTATATGATGACAAAGCAACTAACACAAACGCTGGTCTTCAACTCAACTTCGATCAGTTTCATTTCAATTCACTAACACGGGGATTGTCATAAAAACTTCCAAACATACACACATATATCAGTTTTGCAGTAACATTGATCTCTATTTCTCTTCTGACGTGCGTTCAAGAACGCTGATGCTTCAGTCTTCAAACGATCTCCATTCAACCCTTGTTAATTCTCCACAAAATGAAGCCTACGCCCCAAACCACTAAACTTCATGTCAGTTTCACTTCAATAACGTAAAGAAATTAATCGCTAAAATCATATAAGTCGAAACAGGATGTTCATAACTCAGCAGAAAATTGTGCTTTGTTACTTTCTCTCCCTCCGAAGTAATATCAAAGGCATCGCCAAATTCCTTGTCCTACTGTAAAAAGTCAAACTTACACCATCTATATCTTCGCCCTTGTGCCTCCCCCAGCGTTACAAAGAAATTTTATAGCTGAATAAACATCAAAAGAGGGCCCAAAAATTCCCCATGCCCCACAGTATGCGTAAACATCTTCAGTGCATCATCTCCTCAATAGAGAAGTGTACTATGTCCATCAGTACCGCTCTTCCGGGAGCTGAGTTTGAAGTTAGCGGATAAACTGCAGTTTAAATGTGACTGAAACAATTTACGAAATCTTACACTTGCAAATAGGGTAAACATATGGAAGTATATGGAGATAGTGAAATACAATACAGAGAATCAGGAAGGTGCATTATTTCATTTTCACCCAGAAGTGGAGATAGGACACTCACAATACTCACAGGAAGATATCCAAAATATTCATTAAATCTCCGCCTTTAATAAACATCAAATACGCGTCATGAATATCATCTCAGTCGTCATACCATAAGATAAAGTCTGTGAGGTTTATCTGCAGGCTGAAGGCCGAGAAATAAATTAAATTTCCCGCCTAGCAATTAGACATTCAGCGACAAATCAGTGGCAGCCGGTCGAAAGTTAAGTGCCCACATGATAAAGGTTCCTCGTACTCAGATAAGTGCGACCCATGATGACTTACACAGGAGGGAGTGGACTCTTACACGGGGATGAGTAATCAGCTTACCTTTATGCAAGGTAACATCCTATATAGTAAACCCAGGTAATCAGCTTACAATTAATCCGTGTGTCGGATAATCCAGATCGAAATAAGAAAAATACTGTTCACGGTTGAGTACATATTTTAAAAGACACATGGGATTTCGGAGCAGGACTTTCAGACTGTGTTGAGGGCAGCTGCAGAGACTGAAAGACGCAAGAAAAATGTCCAAGACTGGCTTGAGCTGGATGAAGGAGACCCTGGATTTCAGCTTCTGACAGAGAGTGAAAGTGCTGCAGCGATATTTTAGCACTACTTATATTATTACATTTTTCCACTTATTTGTTTTCTAAGCTTTTGTCTTTTAGAGCTACATTTTGCTTCATTAATCCGGATTATCGGTTAATCTGGACGGTCTCCCCCCAATTAATCCGAATTAGATAGGGTTTACTGCACTTATATTCGGAAAGTGCCTCTTTCGAAAGACGTGAAATTAGAATATCTGATAGGACATCTTAAGAAACAATGTTAATAAAGCAACACACAATAATATGACTGTGAACCCTGCTATGCATATAAAAACAACTTCTGTTGAGTGTGAGAGATTCGCCATTGCCATTATGCACCTTCAGGTTACCAGAGGAACGAACTTGTGAGCGTCAACAAGATGCTAGAGAGCAAGCGAAAAGTAATTTGCTTCGGTGTATTGTGTCTATTGTGTGAACATTTACAATGTTATGATGTGCTGAAGCGTAGTACAATATGTACGAGGGAGAGTCAGTAAATACGTCACAAATGGACATAAAGCCTAAAACACGTGATATTCGAACCTGAAAAAAAATTATTTCTCGACATACACGTATCCTCCACCAACTTTGATACATCTGTTCCACGCTTTACCAGCGCGTCGCAACCTTCGGCACGGAAGTCTTTTGACTGTTGTCCCAGTCACATCCGCACCTCCTTTTCATCATCTGCGTCTTTCGAAGGCCCTTGAGAGAATTTCTTGACGCAGTTATGAACCGCTTTACGCGACAAACAATTCTCGTCGTAAAAAGGAAAAGTGTCTTTGTATTTTTTGCGTTGAGACCTTCTGCCCACAAAAACATACAACAGAACGCTGCTCATCGGTAGTACTCTCTTCAAGCATGGTCGCCATTGTGACTATTGAGATCAGCCTCTTACTATGGGCATGTGCGTCTGCTACCTAGACTGTCGCGGAACTGGACTGTGCTGCTACCTAGTGACAAACACAGAAAACCTATTACGTCCATTACAGCTGTATTACGTCCATTCGTGGTCTGTTTACTGAGTCTCCCTTATACATGAGAACGCTTACCATCGGCTATTTGTGCGGGTTATTCGTGGTAGATGTCAAACATCGGCCTCGAAATATTATTCGATACCATGCAGGACTGGAAATGAATATGGGAGAGAGTAGGGGAAGTTCACAGTACGAAACGACGAGACATCCCCTTCAATTCTCAACTTGCGTTATACTAGTAAATTAAACATCCAGAAGTGTAATACTCACTTTCAGTGTTCCTCCTGCGGCGACGCTGCCTCCGCGCATGCGTCCACTTTTTGACGTCAGCTTCAACCTGGAACAGACAGCAACTGTTACAGACACCTGCACCGGTACAACGCTCAGATATGACTTCATTCTGCTCGCGGTGAGCAATGGGATTTAACAAAGAAACTTCTCGAACAGAATCAGGTAGCATAAACATGCGCTAAGAGCTGAGGTTCTCATGGGGCTTAACGTGAAGATTCCTCTAATGTTCTAGACAGTGGAAACCTCTTGAGGGAACTTGCTGACACCATATTCTTCATCTTCCGCACTGAAGATGAGACAGCAGTTTCCTCCGAAACGTCGGTACCTCTCTCGGAAGTCATACAATGTTACTGCCTACATGATCCTAATCTTCACGACCAACGTTCCTTGTGAGGTTCCATCTTCATGGTAGAACATTAAGCTACGCAGGAAGATATCCGTGATACTGGGAAGGATAGAGACTTGGACTAGGACAAAACCAATGGGGGTGATCTAGATTGTAATCCCGTAATCTTGTTCTTTATCCTGAAGAAGATGGCAGCATATTCCTCCGAAACATTGGTATCCATCTTACTACACAATATAGTATTCTAACCTGAAGATGGAGTCAGCAGTTTCCTCCGAAATTCCGTTAAATACCTACCAGATTACACGGTGACACATCGAAGAAAACAATTTTTAATTCTAAAGTACAGTTACAAGTCTCATACGTGTATATGCACTATGAGGCCAACAACACACACGATTCGTACTTTCAGAATGAATTCTTATTTCAAGAGAGGCTAAACTAAGGTTTTCAAACTCCATCCATTTCTTTAATGCTAGTGGCGTAGGACTAAGTCCCTTGTACTGTGGCGACTTCTGTCCTATTGTACCAGCCCCAGATGATATGTGACGGTGTTTGTGGAGCAATTGGTGGAATGAAGTTTGGCAGGGGAAACGGAAGTACTCGGAGAAAACCTGTACCAGCGCCACTTCGTCCACCACAAATCCCACTTGACCAGACCCGGGATCGAACCCGGGCCACCGCGGTGGGAAGCCAGCGACTAACCGCTTGAGCTATGGCGCGGCCTGACTCCATCCACACTGTCATCAGTCGTGCAAATTCATTTTAATCATGTGCAGTCGCCGTGATGTAAGGCAACTTCTCCGACAGTACTGTTGTGCATGCTACCTAAACACCGATATGCAGGCGTTCCTTAAAATACATAGAGTTTTTCATTCGCGAAACCCACATATGTTGCAGGCTGATTTGATTGTCTGTTTGTGTTCTCTTTCTTCCTGTCTTCTTTCTTTCCCTTTTCCTTCATATTTCAGTTTTCTTTCACGTTGGCCGACACCTGATAAAGAAAATTTAAATCTAAATACATGCTGCGAAATTCCTCGTTTGGCGTTCTTTACAAAGTAAAAAAACAAGGACTTTATGTGGAGGTCATGGGTGTCCGTCTGTAAAAAGTATCACAGCCTAAAATTTCGGCCAAATATTCTTAAAATTCGGGGCTAGAAACTAAAATGCTGGTAAACCTGATTTGTAATTATATTGAGGCACCAATACTTTACATAAGGTTATAAATTAACTTTACATTTACAGAATAAAGAGTTCAGTTGGGCCCACGTCATCACAGAATAGCGTGTCCTCAGTTGCGGCTTCTTGCCAGATACCCTGGCAGTGCGTTAGGGAATAAACGTCCGTTTTTATGGGCCGACAGAGAAACAGACGTCAGACTGACTGTTCGGCAGGCACTCTGCAGTTTGATTTGGGAAACACTCTCGTAGCGGTGTTGTTTCTGTTCTCGCCGCTAGATAGGAGGGGAAGGCATAACGAACCGAAATGTCATGGTACTTGGACTCAACTCCGGTCAAATTACATGCTGCCATTTTAAGGCAAATGAATATCAGCAGCCAACAGCAAGCAACAGGGTGACAAAGTGAACGAACAATTTATTTTTCTAAGTGAGGTTAATAAACGCGCGTATTCATTTGTACGATGCCAACGAACTAGCGGCAAACAGTGTTTAATGTTATGACACTCCAGGTTCACACGGTGAATGTTTACAGACTTTTCGGAGGAAAATGATTCCTTCTTCTCCTACAGGGCAGTAAGGTCCTCCGAGAAGTCGACATATATATACCAGACTGCACGGTGTTACACCTCAAGATCTTCATTGCTTCCTTCTCGTCTGTCGAAAGTATGCAAGCGTAAGGGGAACTGTAGCTGTACTCACAAAGGTGGTGGTGCTTAGAATGATAATGACAATATTATTATTATTATTATTATTATTATTATTATTATTATTATTATTATTATTATTATTATTGTTATTATTGTTATTATTGCGGCAATATGATAGGTGCTCAAAAACTACTGGTTCGTTTCTCCTGTCGTTCATTGCCCCTCCCACATATTTCCCCTTGTCTCTCTTTTACATTTTCTCTGTCTTTTTATTTATCACTCTTCTTCATTCTCTCTTATAATTCCATCATATGTCCTAATTATGTCTCCTTAATTCATTCTACCCTCATAAGTTCTCACCTCTCTTTCTGTCTCTCTTTCGCTCTGCTTTCTCCGTCTTATCCCCTCTCATACTCTATTTTCCTTAATCCCTCCTCCCTACTTTCCTATCTTCATTTTTTCCTCTTCGCCTTCCCACATCCTAGTCTCTTCCTTCCTTCTTTCATCATAGCCTACTGATTCTCAACTCCTTTAACGCTTTCAAGCATGAAAATCATCTAAAGATTATTTTAAAATTCAGTTTCTGTCTCAAAGAGGCCACGGTCCTTCTTTCTCGATGTCAGAACCACACGAAACCGATAAACACGTTCTGTGGGCAAAACGCAGAGTTTTGAAATGTTAAAGCAGGTGGTGTATACAGAACCACTGGCCACTCCCGCGCTCTCGAATCCGATCAGCAAAGTAACCGACTAATGCCCCACATATACATACATTCCGTCACTAATATATTGCAAATAAATAACTAGAACTATAAATAAATAACTGGAAAATAACCGTTACAAAACTACGGCTGTGCTATGAATCAAAACGCATTGATATAAAAGTACCAAACTACACGGCATCATCGAGAGATTCTGCGTAGCGATAACGCTCTAGATTTGTATTCGGGAGGTGCTCAGTTCAAATCTGGGACGGGATACCGGCCATCCTGAATGAGATATTTCGCGGTTTTGCCCAGTAGCTTCTCCTTCATCCAGCTCAAGCCAATCTCGGATATTTTATTTCGTGGTTTCAGTCTCTCCAGCTGCCCTCAACAAAGTCTGAAAGTTGTGCTCCTAAATCCCATGTTTCTTTTAAAGTACGTACTCAGCTGTGAGGTAAATGTTTCATTTTTCATATTTCGATCAAGATCATCCGACATGCCGGATTAATGAGAATTTACTGTACAATAAAGATTTGTTTATCCCATTCGCCTAATCGCTAGATGTCCGGCAACCACATTCCTTGTTACTTAAAAAACTTTGGTAACATTAGAAAAAGTTTATTTACTCTTAACTTCCTCAGCGAATCTGTCAATAGCACGGACTGTGAGTACAGTGTCGAATGGCTGGGTGATTATGAATTATGACTCGGAAACAATATCGAAGGAGGCGATCGTAGCGTGTCTCACGGTGTTGCCTGGAGCAAGTGACTAAAACTACGAAACCCCTCAGTCAGAATAGTCTGTACCTGGTTGAGACTCAAAACAGAGCAGCCTACTCAGTAATCATTACATAAAGAAAGTTACGTGTTACGGGCAAGAGGACAAGTGAGATGTTTGTCATTTGTTCCGTGGGTAACACGTTCATTATCAATGATGATAATTATCGCAATGAATTGTCACCAACGGTCACACAGTGCTTTTTAATATGTTCGTGTAATGTTAATTGGATTATATAGCTATTTTAAAAATAATTGAAACGCTATATATTATTATATGATCATTTATCATTCGAGACCCATTACACTGATACATTTATATCGGTGGCCAGTAATAACATAAATTTATCAGCTGGAAGCAACAAAACATAGATAACTTGAATTCGTTTCGCACAGCCTCGTTCCCAGACTAGCTCATCAGCCAAAGGGCAGAGATTCTGGACCAATTACATCTTGCGTCCCATCTTTTCGTGACGTCAAGAACGACGCTATAATCCCAGTACAGGCCAACAAAAATAGAAGTTTCTCTTTTTCGAAGAAATATATTATTACGATCAATGCAGGTTTTAGTAGTACTTTAAGAACTCATGACTTGTAACAATTTCTGGTAAGATGTTTATTATGATTACCGGTATATAAAAACGATATAATTCCGTCAAGCCCCAGCAAAGGGAAGCCTCTTACTGGTTGAGAAACACTGCTCTTGAGGATATTTTAGAAAGTACCTCGCTCAGCAACCGCAAAAAGCGAACCTCTTGAAACGCTGATAATGGCTCAGCTGGCAAACAAAATCGCCCCTCTTTTTGGAACCTAAACAAGGAACAGATCACTCACAACCTCAACCTGAGCCACGTCATTCCAATCCCTGTTTTGCTTACAGAAACTATTTCACCCTCTCATTTACACCTAGGTCTAGCAAGTGGGCTCTTCTTCTGACCCGGAGAGCCGACTGTTTGGTGCTTCGGTTCTGTGTATGGACTTCAGAAGAGGGCGGGAACTGTCAGCAGAGCTGCTATGAGGCACCAGGACCGGGTCCACCAACGTGAACAGTTTTCCAAGGATCCTACCACTCGGAAGCAGTGAATAATAGTATTTAGTTATGTGTCACTTGCTATTTTATTTTAGCACATGTTACTAGCCCATAAGGAAAAAAACTGCCGCTTGATTCATCTCCTCCCCCTCCCCCGCCGTGTTCATTTTCTTATGGGTCTCCTTCCTGACTTTCTGGGTTCACTATATCTCACATTCTTATCTCGATGCAAAAGAATATCGGACGGTTTGTTATGCATCTTACTAGAATTTTGATCAATAGGTTCCACACACATACCTCTCTTATTAGCACATGAACGTTAATCCAGAGCAAATAACATTTAAGTGCCCAGTTCGTACCTCACAGACAACATGACTGTGTCTCAGTTACTAAAAACATTCGGGTACTGTCGCTTTAGAAAATAATCATATTTATTCTAAGAATTAGACCCATAACTGTATCAAATAACCCTACTCAGTGGAAAAATGGGGAGTTCCTGAACGTTTAAGAAAATGGTACACATAGTAACCACTGCGCTTCAAAGGCTTATTAGTGAATTAAATGATTGGCTTAAGGCTGAAGCAATTAACTGACGTAACAACACAACGGATGAGTCAAGATGGCCGTACCCATTTCATATGGACAGTTGCATGACTGACGAAGGAACGAATGAACAGCAATGACGAAAGGAATGGAGGAACAATGGAATTAATGGATGAATGAAAGTAGGAAGCAAAGAAGACGAGAAGTAAGCAATTAATAACTAACTAATTCCAGGGAGCGGAGTTCTTGAAAACTCGCCAGTCGCACAGCTACTCAAGAATTTTCCATCATTTTATGGAACCAGAAGTTCATTGTCGTGTTCACAAGAGCCCTCCATTTATCCCTATCCTGAGCCAGATCATTCCATTCCATACCACTCCATTCTATCTCTCCTACATCCATTTTAATATTATCCTACCATCTATGTCTAGGCCTTCCTAGTGGTCTCTTTCCTTCTGACATTCCCACCAATATCCTGCACGAATTCCTCTTCTCCCCCGTAGGTGATACATGACCTGCCCATCTCATCCTCCTTGACTTGATCATTGTAATCATACTTGGAAAAGAGTACAAGTAAAGAAACTCCTCATTATGCAGTAACAATCAATTAATTATTGTTGAAGAAAGTAAAGAATAAATGGAAGAAGAATTGAACGAATGAATGATAAATGAATGTATGAAGGAATTAACCGGATAATTACTCGTAACAGAAAAAATGAAAATGAATTAACGATCGGATTATTATATTAATTAAAAAATTGATGAAAGTTACTGCACAGTCAAAAGACTATACAGGAAAATACAAAAATATCAGGAATTTGACATAAAACATAATTGCAACCCTCAGTATGGCCACCTGCACGGCGTGAAACTGAAACACGCGGTGCTCCCTACAGAGAAGAGGCAACGTCGCAAAGAAAATTAGCATATGGTGGGGAGTGCAGAGTGGTGCCCTGTTTATTCATTTGCTATAGCCAGTCCCAACAATAGCCTCAGGCGACGCCGGCGCCAGGACGGTCGGTGCTGCTTTAAATTCAATGAGATAGGCTTGTCACCTTTAGACAGGGTCACAGCTAGTATGTGCCCTGAAAACGCGAGTCATTTCGCATGGAAAACATAAGACGGTGTTAAGTGTTTTTTTTTTTCTTTTTACTTTTGTTTCGCTCAACTCATTTAACCTCATTTTTCATCGCACAATAAACCCCAGCCTTTTCCTGAACACTCTGGATTCACCACTTCCAGAAATAGTACCTAACAGCACTTCCATAAGTGTGTAAAAATCGATTTGATTGATCTGGATGCAAAGAGTCAGCTGATTGGCTCCGCAAAGGGGGGAGGGGCTGAAACTCCAGCTTGCGAAAAGTTAAAAATGCCGCCGCACGGCGCTCCGAATCAATACAGCCGGCCCATATCACGTGGTACGGCAGCGGGCAGCCCCAGCCAATGGCTGGACAGTAAAAAGTTTCGTGAAGTGGTCGCCGCGACAAGGACGCCGCCAACGGAGGCAGGCGGAAAGCAGTCAGTGTGTGCGAGTTGCCCGCTGCGGCAGGAGAGTGATGTGATGTAGTGGCGTCTGGTCACCATGGAAGAAGCTCAGGTGATCTTCACGGAGCTGCCGATACTGCACCATCGGCACCACCCTTACTACCTACACCAGCCGCATCTTCAGCTGGCAGTACGGGAACCATCGCCGCCACCGAACCAAACCCATGTGTCGTGTCTGTACCCCGAGATCCTGGCCCTCATCTTCGGCTACCTGGAGGTACGCGACAAGGGGCGTGCAGCACAGGTGTGTGTATCGTGGAGGGACGCAGCGTACCACAAGTCGGTGTGGCGCGGGGTCGAGGCCAAGCTACATCTGCGTCGAGCAAACCCGTCCCTCTTCATGTCCCTCGTGCGTCGCGGTATACGTCGCGTCCAGGTACTGTCCCTGCGACGCAGTCTCAGAGACGTGGTGCACGGTATCCCGAACTTGGAGTCCCTGAACCTTAGTGGATGTTACAACGTGACGGACATTGGTCTGTCGCACGCTTTCGTGTCAGAGGTGCCCATGCTTACTCAGCTGAACCTGTCGCTGTGTAAGCAGGTGACGGACACCAGTCTGGGACGCATCGCGCAGTACCTCAAGAACTTGGAAGTGCTGGAACTTGGGGGGTGCTGCAACGTGACCAACACGGGGCTACTGCTCATCGCGTGGGGGCTCAAGAACCTGCGGCGCCTCAACCTCAGGTCCTGCTGGCACGTGTCTGACCAGGGTATCAGCCACCTTGCCGGTCTGAACCGCGAGGCTGCGGACGGCAACCTAGCGCTAGAGCACCTCGGTCTGCAGGACTGCCAACGCCTATCAGATGAGGCACTCAAGCACGTCTCCGTGGGCCTCACCGGCCTTAAGAGCATCAATCTTAGTTTCTGTGTGAGCATAACGGACAGTGGACTGAAACATTTGGCTAAGATGGTGTCCCTACGGGAACTGAACTTACGGTCGTGCGATAACATATCCGACATCGGAATGGCCTACCTTGCGGAGGGCGGGTCGCGGATATCCTCCTTGGACGTGTCGTTCTGCGACAAGATAGGTGACCAGGCACTGGTACACGTGTCCCAAGGCCTGTTTAACCTGCGCTCCCTGTCTCTGAGTGCTTGTCAGATCTCCGACGACGGTATCTGTCGCATCGCCAGGACCCTACACGATCTGGAGACCCTGAACATAGGGCAGTGCAGCCGCATATCGGACAAGGGCCTGCAGACCATCGCAGAGTGCCTCCGTAACCTACGGTGCATAGACTTGTATGGGTGCACGCGAATCAGCACAGTGGGACTGGAGCGAATCATGAAACTGCCACAGCTAAGTACCCTGAACCTGGGACTCTGGCACGTCAGGTGAAACAGGCTCCCGACTGTGCGTGGTGCGGGTTCGAGTCTCGGTAAGACGTAGAAGCTTTCGGTTCCTACAGCACAGTGTATACCCGCGATTTAAGACCACCGTGACGGAGAGTTAACACAGATTCTATCACCTGTGGTATCTTTCAGTGGCCACTTTCTTTCTTGTCCCCTGAGGCTCGATATTTGAGAACCTCGCGTACCATTCCTCGCCCCATAAGAGAACAACTTTCACCTAGTGGCTGTGTCCGTGTTTATATGTTCCGAGGGTGTGTTTGCATTTTCCAGGGTGTGAAAGTGGTGTATTCTATTAAAAATGTCCAGTAATAACTTGGATATGTAACTAACTAGGCCCGAACAGGTATCAAAAACCCCTTTTATTTAAAAAAAAAAAGTATCAGTTCGACTTGAAGAAGATTGGCTGCAGGTAGCTGCAATACCGACTGACGTAACGTGATAGTGTGACAGATAATTGTGATCGAGTGTCATATCAAAATTATAACGCTCTTTTGCCCCTTTCCGTACAATACTGCAAGACCTGACTGGGAAGGGCGACAACAATTGTGGGAACCGTGGAGGACAATACTGTGGTCACAGAGGCTGTTTGCTGATCTCATCACAAAGGTCAATCTTTCCACTCGCTGTAAGATATGTAATCAAAGAGACTGATATATTTGAAGCACGTTTCTTGCAGTTGTAAAGTGTGAGGCGATTCATATGAAACGTTGCCGCTTGTTCCAGTAGATTGTCCTTTAACCATTTGGCATACATTTCTGTTTGATTTTCACTACTCAAAACACCAATCTAAATACAGGCCTAAGTAAGAGAAAACATCGAACCTAAGATAGTACATGTGTGTGTATGTAAACTACATCTGTTGTACAGTAAATCAATTGTACGCACCTGGTAACGTTTCGGTCGTAAAAGTGACTTACGGGCGGTTTCACAGCCGTCTACTGAACACCGTTGGATTAACAGATTTTTTTTCAGTTTTGACCTCTTATAGTCCCGAAATTTATAAAATTACAATATTTGTAAGCAGATAGTTTTTGTAGCGTATACTTTCAGTTATAAGCTGCAGGGTTAAGGACAACCTGGATCGGTGTGGAAGCTGTCAAAATTAAACTGAATTTCAAAAACGACAAGCAGTTGAAAACCCTTTGGATTTATTCACTTTTTTGTTATTATAATTATTAGACCTTATATTCCCATTGTTATGAACATAATTTAGCCTGCCAATTCTTCCGGACACGGATAATGTGTGAAACAGGTTATGAAAATTAAAATTGTTCAGAAAATATTACTCGGTTGAATTTTAAATAGATCCGTCAGCTAGTTTACAGATAAATACGGTTTTTAACGAACTTATACAGATTGTGACGTTTGAAAGGTCCTTGAATCTTAAAATTCCTGTACAGAAAGATAAGGAAGTTAGTCACGATATGCATAGCAGAACATGTACAAGTGAAATCTGAGGTTGTCAGGGCGACGGCTGTGAAGGCTACCTTCTGGGATGTGACGCCGAGTAGCCTGATAGATCGTTGCCAGTGTTTCGAAGGAAAGTGCTGACTCCATCTTCACGGTATTAGAAGATGGTAGCAGTAAGAGTGCCGGTATGGGGAGGGGACGTAGGTGACAGGCACCTGTCCACACCCCTGGATTTCTGGAGAATTTCAAAATTGAAAAAGAAGCCACTGTGCCCAATATGAATACTGAAACTTATTTTACTTTTACTTCTTTTGTCATGAAGAATACAGCGATCAGTAGAAACCCTTTAAATCCCAGTGGTTACTATATGTACCACCTGCTTTAATACAACAAAACTCTGCATTCTGCCTACACAATGTATTTGTGTGTTACACAATAAACAGCGACTGTTTCCCTAACCAGCATTAATCTGTTGGTCTCTATAGCAGAGATGTAGTGTGTTTTCTGTGAGGCATGAACTGAATTTTAAAATGTTCAAAATTGTCCCCCCCCCAAAAAAAATTCATGGTAGAGTCGATGGGATCCAGACTAGACGGCATCACATCCCAAAATACATTAATTTTCTGAAAGAGTTCTGATTGGTTGCATCGGCGCTATTGTTGTTAGCTCCTTCTTCCAGTGAGGTGTATGGCTGAGAAAAATTTCGTTTCCTGAGAAACAGAACCAGAACCAAAGACGAGCATTTCGTATGGCTTCCACCACGAGAATTCGCTTCAATCAGTTTGTGAAATACGTGACAGTGGCCACCTCGCGCGTTTTGCCCTAGTCACACTGACATTTCTGTGGTCACCAGAAACATTGATGTAACTGCAAGAGTAGCATCACGCGCTCTTGCCCTCCTGAACAAACCGAACAGTTAATACGAGATATGTGATGTGTATATAGCACACGGTACAGTGTGTCAGGTGGCGCACTCTCTACACATGTCCTGTTCTAACTTCAAATTAAACCCAATTTAAAAAAAGAGGCATTTACATGACGTCAGTAGCCGTAGAAAGGGGGCTGAAATATTTGTGATCGAAAACTTAAGTATCTCTCATACAAAGATAGAAATATTTCCTTTTATTTAACGTCATGCCATCTTCATGTTAAAGAGTCGACTCGTGCAAAACCACTTCAAAATCACGCACCTTGCTACAGTAGTTCTACAGATTACATTAATACGTGATCTAGAATATATTTACTTTTTAGGAGAACCTGAAAAGTGAAGGGTACGTTTTGAATGTAGTCTTGAAATTTTGCCATTTCGTTTCTGCAGATCATACAGCAGATATTCCGGGTGCAGTAAAGAAATTACAACCATTAAATTCACTTTCTGTGTTGGAAATCAGATATTAAGTTCCCACAGCAATGACTGTAAAGAGTCCTTTGCCTTCTAGTATGTGACGCCGTGTAGTCTGATAATTCAGTAACTTTTGAGAGAAACTGCTTCCATCTGCAGAATCGAAAACATGCCAAACAAACAGGAAGACATAGGTAGTCAACACAAAATCGAGGAGTACATTCTTCTGAAATGTGGGTGAAATTATACCAGATTGCACGGCGTCATATCCCAGAAGATAGTGCTGTTTATCTGTCAGACAGCTTGAGTGGTCAGAGAATATTGAGGTGTTTCGCGTGTTACCTCAGTCATTTGTTGTTTATTTAATGTGGTAATTTGAAATTGAGGTTGAAAGACATTCCTCTGGATTTTTGAATATGAAAATATAGTGCATATCACAGTTTTTTACATATAGTCCCACTTGGGCAACATATTATGGTTACAAATGTTTCACGCAGATGCAACCTTCACCAGACATTTTGACAGAATACATAATCAAATATTTCTGTCCAGTGTAAGAACAGTGGTAGCAAGTTTTATGTATAATTTAATATACGAGTATATTTCAGCATTATTGCCGGTATATTTTACTCTGGTGTACCACAGATGAACTAAATTGGTTGTTGTAGAGATGGGTGCAGTCACCTGGTATGCCTGTACTAAGATATGTTCTTTTGTTTTGCATGTTTGTTGATTTGTCTGTTTGATGCTGATTAAGGAGAGCATGCAGAGAGGTGTATGGGAGACGTGAGAGAATGGGGAGATATGTGTGGCTCAGTTGTCAATAAACAAATTGTCAGGTTCAAAAACATTTTTTTTTCGATGTTGCAAAAGTAATCATTCATATACTTGTATGATAAAATGGATAATTAAATAATATCTGTTTGTTTTATAAGCAATTGATACATAATTTTTTAATTTGGCATAAAATGCAAGATATAGATGTGATGAAGGTTTAAAGAAGTATCTAAGGGTATTTACAGACATTCTGATACAGAGACTTGATAGTCTGTCACACAAACAACAATGAGACAAATTTTAAATTCATCACACTCCAGACTTTGATTTCATGGATTTAAGCGAGAAACTGTGACATCTGAAGTTCCCGTTCCTCATCAGACCCGTCACGTTTCAGAAATTCCCTACTAGTTCGCAAACGCCTGGGCTACAGCTTATATAATCCTTCTATATAAAAAAAAAGTAATGTAACGTCCTCTCCGCGTCAGTTGCAACGAGTTCGCATTCGCATTTCTGGTCGCGTAAAAAATTATGTTTCAACTAAGTCATGAACCTAATACAGTTACTTCATGAAAATAATTGTAGGAACATTCAAAGCGTTCAGATTCATAATTTATAGTTCGTGGTTCCCATCTATTCTAATTTAGTTGTGGGACCTCCATTTATTTCTGTTGGTGTTAGATATTCTCTTTCCATATATTGTGTGTTGTAATGTAATGTTATTTTGTCCATAGTCTTAATAGTTCACTGGCAGAGAGCTTTGAATTTCACAGAATGGCATTTCTTAAGTTCGCAAACATTTTTCTGGTAAGAACAGTTGAGAAGCGCTGCATTGCAGACACAGGCGAGATCAGTATACGAGCACACGTGAAACAGTATTTTGTGTTTCATATTCTTTATACTGGAAACATCTCAGGAAAAAGATTTATATAACAAAACATAGACTCGCCTATATACGTACTTCTTTCAAAACGGTTCGCAGTTTCATTCTTTGGTTTTCACGGCCTAGATTCCGCTGTTTATGCGCTTCATATACTGAAACTGCGCCATCTGGCGTTTCGGCTTTCATTGCAGTCGTCTTAACCCAGAAGCTGGTGATTATAATGTAAGCCAGAACTCTGTAACAGCCCTCACATATGACGCAGCCAAATCTTGAAATCTAAGGTGCACATTTCTTGATCGAGACAGTAACTGTGGGGATTTAGCAGACACGATCTTCAAATATCAGCTTTCGGGTTTGGGAATTGGGTGGTTTCACAATTCGGCATGAAGCTTGATTTACGGGATAGGTAAGTTCAAGGTATATTCTCTTGTTCACGGCGATATCAACCTCAGTGAAGTGACCTAACACATAAATGGAATGATCACTTCCTCATGTGACGCAAATTCATTTAATTGAACATGTTTATGTTGCTAATTTATGGGATGAGCCAGGGAGGCGTAATATTTTAGTAATTAGAAACAGACAAATTTAAAAAGGCCTATATATGGTGTGAAATTTCGGGAGCGGCAAACAGACATGTAATTCGTTCTACGAATCTGAGAACCATGTCGCGCGAGATGACTCGCGCCAGCATAGCATCGCAACGTTCAAATGATATTTGATCACTATATACCACTTACTGGTTCTGACATATCGCGCATTAATTTCCTCTAGTCAAGATCTCTGGCACGAAAGTATGCATCCAGTTGCTAGTTTAATGACATTACAGCACCTTCACCTGAAGGAAGCAATGTAATATTTCTGTTAATTCCAGTCATTTCGATAACCCCAAACCGCAGATCAATCAGGTCAACTCAAATAAAAAGTCTGGCACATTGGCCAGTAACTCTGGGCAAGCAGAAGATGAACATCCAAACTTATACTCCATTCATCTAAAATTATGTTAACAAAGGAATTTAAACAAAACCTCTGTAAGATTTGAGACTTTCAAGGCGGTGAGTATGAAGAAAGCAGTCTTGTGGGATTTGGCACCGTGTATATGTGGTGTTAACCGACGTTTCGGAGGAACGTATCGCCTCCATCTTAAGAGTAGAAAGAAAATTATAAGAAATCTGCAAGCGAAGAGACCGTGAGAACCGGTAAGAGCAGTCTGCGGATTTCTTATATTTTTCCTTCTACCCTGAAGATGGAGGCGATACGTTCCTCCGAAACGTCGGTTAACACCACATATACACGGTGCCAAATCACAGGAGACTGCTTTCTTCATAAACAAAACCTGTTCACCTAGGCCAGAGCTGTCATCTCCACAGAGACACGCCACGGTAATCAGCACTTGAGCGGCGTTTAGACAAACAAGATTGCTTAGTGACAGCGAAATATACAGGCCGGCTTCACAGTTTCCGAAAAGCGAAACCTTTACTGCAACCTTACAGTATAAATTTCGTGTAAAAACACGGCTGGTGATTGGGTTAACGAATCGCGAATCCTGGTTATGTTTCGTAGAAAGCAGGCCTATACAACTTGAAATTTAGTTTCGAAATAAATTCAGTATCTGATCTCACGCTATTTCAGAGAAATCTGCCTAGGTGGGATTTTATGCAACTTTGTAATGAAGCTTCATGCTTCAAGCAACTGTGAATTTCATCACCACCTAAACACGCATTTAGTGTTAAGATTGAATAATTACGTTATCACAATATAAATTTTCAACATTCTAACAAAATGCTGCGATTTATGAAGAAACAAGTTCTCTGAAGAACTAATCGCCTACTTTCCGTTGATACGACACGGATCGCATAGTAGACGACGCTTCCAACAATTCATTGTTGCATATATTCGTTGCCGCGCGAACTTCTTTACTGAGCCGTTGTCTAGCAACGACAGGACGGATTGCATACACACACACAGACTGATGGGAGAGATTTGTGAAGTACGCCGTTGATATGGGCTCAGGTGCCGTGATATGCGTGCCAAATTTCATGAAGTATGGAGCATTCAAAAGTTGATGGGGGGGGGATACACAGACAGCGTGGTGATTTTATAAGCCTACTTTCATTTTTTAAACTAAGGAAAGTAGAATAATATTTTGAAAATATCCCTGTGCTCAATTAGGCACCACGCGATAAATACGTATGGGGGAAATGAGGCATGTATCCACGCATTCCTAAAGCCGGCATAGTAAATGAAATGTGAGTGGTCAGCTTTACCCCCAGGGATAGAGCCACCGGCATCCATCGGATAGGAAACTGGATGGTCCGACCGCAGACCCGATGTGGATGTTGAACAGAAATCGAAACCCGATTTCCCGGTCATCCAGGCCGTACTTAGTCACTATGCTGATTAAGATATGCCAGCTTCCATTCGTCTACTGATCACACATAAAATAGCTGACGTCAGTCATGGAGATAAAACTGCTCTCGTGGTGCTTAAAGTGAACACCAGATGACCAATACGAAATCTTGGCGAAATAACGTAATTACATTTTAACTCCTGCCCCAAGCTGGGCTGGACAATGAAGTTGACTGTCTTCTGTCTGTTAAGAGAAGGGCTCACTACAGCTCACTTCGAAAAAGACGTAAATAAAATGTGCGCTATATGTGAGAGACCGGTATTCGATCGTCAACAGCAGTCATCACCATGATAGTGATGTGCATACATTTCTGCAGACCATCAAGAAACCCATATACAGCACACGGGGGGGGGGCTTCGCCATGTTCTTTCAAAAGGGGGGCGCAGTCATAAAGGTATCTTAACAAACTTACGTTTAAGCCGCTTGCAGTTATTTATTTCGAACCCCCTAAAATATTCAAGAGATAATGTTCTTTTAAATGCTTCCAATTTTGGGAATTTATACTCCGTCTTTTTCAGTCTTATCTTCTCTTCAAAGTCCGGGGGGGGGGCAGATTCCGGGCTTTCAGCCTTCTGCGGTCACCCATGGGCCTTGCCCAGATGTAAAGACAACCGGTGATCCACCGAGCAAACCCCTAACACTTCTAGCTTGTGTTCGGGAAGTGCGGAGTTCGAATCTCGACTACAACGCCCAGTATCCTAACAGCTTTCATGGTCCCCGTCGCTCAGATTCTGGAGTGACTGATCAGGTCCCGACAACTTGCCTTCACATCCTTTCTAATTCACTATATACTAACCATCCTACCATTTGACTCTGTGCAGTGCCGTCTCAGACACTGCGTCCCTGAATAAATAAATGTAATTATTTGACACGGCTGGAGTCACGCCTCCACCGGTATTCCCAGCGTGATGCAGTTTTATTAATGTGTAGCGAGTCCCTTGTCCGGGATTGGATTGGCGAACTCTACAACAAAACTGCACTGAACTGCTAATGCAGATATTCTTATTTTACTATTTTGCATAGTAATGCGCTAATTTCCCGTTGGGACAGACACGTTAATTAAGTCTTTGAAGCCTTGTATTCATGTAAATAACTTTTAAAAAAATTCATTCGAGATTTGAGTTTATTGTGGCACTGAATATGCCATCTTTGGACATGAAGGCGTATATTCCACCCTGAAGATTTGCCCCGGAAAAGCTAGTGACTTTGTGCGCGAATGCGCAGTGTCACATCTCAGAAGACAGTAATCATTAGCGTAATTCGTTGAGGCACTAAGCCGCAAGGTCGCGGGTTCGATTCCGGATTAGGTCATTGGATTTTTTTCAATTGACTTAACTTTTCCAGCCGCACTATGGCCCTGGGGTCCACTCAGCCTCTAACAGAAATGAGTACCAGGAATCTTCATGGGGCGTAAAGGACGGCCGGCGCGTAAGGCTGACAACCTCACCGCCATCTGTAAGCCGACTGTCTAGAAAATGTGGGAGCCTCGACGTCTCACAACCCTAATGGCCTCCACGGCCTGTTACAGCAACAGCTATACCTTTTACATCACAGAGAGCATACCAGGTCTCCATTACTAGAGGAAATCGTCCATGCTGTTCAGTGAAATAATCGTTGCATATTTTGTAATCAGACCCCATATTAAAGGGTTGAGCCCGTGTGACGATAGGGTTATCATAGTGGAAGTTGCTTGTATCACTGTTGATGTAACAAGCTATCAAGACGCGCTAGACGACCGAGGTTTGATTCTGTGTCGGCAGGGAAAGATTCTTGCTAACGACGTCCAACTTGCAGACAGACTCAAACATCATCCTGTCCAATGAGTACCATTCATTTCCTCAGGGGCAATACAGACAAAGCGTCAGGGCTGATCACTCACCTGCACGTCACGTTTATGACACATGACTGACTGCTTCTGTTCTTTCCGCGGTGGCAGAAGGTTTCTGTGTGACCCAGAGCACCAGGTAGCCACTATCTGGCGGGTAAACATACAGTGAGAGTCCACACACCTTCCTACCTACTGTACAGAAATTCACTCCTTGTAGTTACTTTACGGCCTGTTTATAAACCTGATATCCATACGGTCACGATTTAGGGGGGTGTGACCATAGACGGGGTATGAATTCGTTAACTGGATTTATTGACCACTTATACACAGCACTCTGTACAACACGCAATTACAGCACTATTGCTAATCACAATTTACAAATCACCACAGCACCCGCGAAGCCTTTTGCAGCCTGCTGTGTCTGCAACAGCCATTCCCTGGCAACAGCTTCTAACGGTGAAGATTATTCAGCTTCCCGCGCTCAGTTCCTCATGTCACAGCTGCCCGGAACTCTCCATCCAATTCCCTCCTGCAACTGCCAACTAAATCGTTGCCATATTCTCTCAATTCCTCAAACTCAGTCGGCCTGGCACCCTGCTTACATAGCTTCGGGACGGATCCAACAGAAAACGCGTTTCTTAGCAATCCCTACATTGTTGCTTGCGTATTTGTTGTCGCGCGAACGTGTTTACCGAGCCGTGGCCTAGCAGTGAACGTTTCTGGCTCCACCATTCCGGCCTTCAGGCGTCATGTTTTTCCTCCTACTGCGGACCTAACAGATAACATCCAAAGGCGTAATTACATTTATTCCAAACTTCTTGCCAACACGTATGGCGGAGTTCGAGTCCTGGTAGGGTCAAGAATTTGACCTCTGACGACAGAGGACGGGTCCTTCTTTTGTATATGCTGGTCCTTGCCAGCGCAGTCCTTCTCGGGTCCGAGTCCCGTGTGACTAGCGACAATATTTTACTGTCTCACATTTGAGACTTCCCTTTTCGTCGCCTCCTACGGCTCGCAGTGTCACGGTGGAGGTACTGACACCGCCTCAGTTTCCCCCGTTGTCCCCCTTATAACACTCGGCACGGACTGCGTAGAAGACACCGTTCATTGTCGTATTCCAATCGTTTCCCTGTTGCCTTGCAGCGGATGTTGTTTCCTTGTTTGTTTCGGGGTCGTTACCCAGTAACGGGTCTACACAATACATTATGTACACCAAATAACAGTACAGATAGTGCTGAACAGCTTAACTAGTAACAGTTAAACCATAATCAACTCAACATAACCATCACCCCACCGAATTCAGACAGGAGAACTCTGGTTGTCGAGATTCTGTAAGTGCCCCGGAAGAGGGGCCGCTGGGGTCTTGGGCTTTCTGAAGAACTGTCCAAGATCCGAAATTAGTGCAGTGGGTGTTAAGGTAACTGAATCGTCAGTCGAAACGTCGCAGGTCGAGTCGTAACGATCAAGGTGGTGCGCCAGTGCTGCCGTAGTGTTTGTGGACGCGATGCCCCTCGGGCGCCCTCACGTTGCTCTCCATCCGTATGTGTATGTGCGTGCTCATTAAAGAATTCAAGAACCGATGAAAGGATTTTCGTGAAATTCAATAATTTAGGAGTTCAACAAGAATTTGTGCCGATCACAGAGGCCGTGCCGTCTGAGGCACGAAATATCATTCACCGCTGAAATGAGATCGCGGGTTCGAATCCCATACATAGATGTCTACATTTTTTCTTTGACCTCTGTATGTGGAAGCATTCCGACTGACCGATACCCCAGTCCGAGGAGCCGCATTATCTGTAAGATTCATAATTTCATAGTTAATTTTGATCGTAACCATACCGCAGAT